CGGGGCGAGCACCTACCAGCGCCGCGTGAAGTCGGCACCTATGGTGAGTAGGGTTGATGTTTTTGCTAAGCACAAGCATAAATGTAAAAATATGGATGTAAATGTTAAAACTGTAGAAGAAAAATTCCCCCCACAAAAGCAGTGTCCTTTTCCAAATCTGGTCAAACCTTATACTGCTAAAACCATTGAATCTCTGCTGCAACAGGAAATCATTCATGCGTGTACTTCCATGTGCAATTCTCCAATCTGGCCAGTACAAAGCCCAGATGGATCATGGCATCTTAGTACTGATTATCAAAAATTAAATGAAGTGTCTCCAGCTGTTACAGCTGTTGTTTCCAAAATGCCTAATCTAATTAATCTGTAAATCCCAAAGCAAAATGGTTTTCTACCATTGGCACCTGTTGGGTTTGAATATAACTATAAGCTTTAGATAATGAGTTCAGCACTTCTGGAAGAGTGCTCCCAGGGTGGACATGCATCGGTACTTTACCCCGAACCTAAATTCTCACGAGCGTTGAAATGTAAGAAATACAGCAGCAAATGAATCCCATGATATTGAACAGTCAGCACACCCCACCTCAACCTATTGCAGTAGCAACTAAAGCAGCACCCTGGATTCCCACTCCGCACACGGAGTATAAAAACCAGGACGTGAAATTAAAGTTTTAAATAAAACCAAAGTGATCAATAAATACTTCAAAGTGCTCAGAGCAGGGAAATCGAGCTTCCTACGGAAAACTCCAGCAGGAACCACTCCTGTATAGTGATGGTCAACCCATGACAGGGCAACCGACTCTAACAGCATCTCTAGGAGGATGTGACTAGTACGTGGTACTAGGTGTAGGTGTAACTAGTACGTGGTACTTATCTTTAGGGGTTGTATGTGCTGTGACATTTATAACTTTGTTGGTAACCTTAATAAAACTGCCAAAAGACAGGCGCTCTTGTATGTGCTAGGTGCCTATGGTTCCACGTGTTCCTACGGGCTCTAAATCCAGAACAAAGAAGTGGGCTGTAGCCCACGAAAGCTTATGCTCAAATAAATTTGTTAGTCTCTAAGGTGCCACAAGTACTCCTGTTCTTTTTGCGGATACAGACTAACATGGCTGCTACTCTGAAATCTGTTGTTGAACTTGAGGCTGTAGCCCAGAGTTGCACCCACTGGAGTATAAGTAACATTAAATAGAATAAAAGGCGACAGTAGACAGCGCTTTGAAGTCTTGGCTTGGGCTGGTATTGGTGGGGGCTGGGTGACCCAGCACTCTTACCCCAGTGCACGGTGAGGGGGTCCCGCAGGCTGATGTGCTCCACCTGGCAGGTGTAGACGTCCCCGCGCCGGGGGCTCATCTCCAGCATCACCAGGATCTGGAAGGTCCAGTCTCCGTTCTGGAGCAGCTCCGTGGACACCACCCCGGCCGTCTGCTCCTGCCTGTTCTTCAGCCACTTGATCTCGATCCCCCCGGGGTAAAACCCCGTCACCGAGCAAACCAGCAGGTGGGAGTGGGGCTCAGACCCCGATTTTGTGGGGGAAACTTTCACCTTGGGCTGAACTGGGGGGAGAGAGAGAAGGGGGCTGGGAAAGGGTCCAGAGACAGAGGGGGGCTCAGAGAGAACAGGTGCCCCCCCAGGGAAATATCCCCCCCATATG